AAAAAAAAAAAAAAAAGAAACTAATTATAGGTGCAAATACCCATATTAAGAAAAAACAAGGCACTTCAATTTTAAAACAGATGTGCTTCCTGGGTAAATTGGACTCAATGGGTTAAAAAAACAGAGATCATAAAGTTCAGATGGAGACATGGTAGTGGTGAATGCGGTCAAAATTTGTTGTATGCATGAAGGAAATTCTCAAAGAATAAATATATCTTTCAAGGAGGGATGATTTCTAATGTTTCATTTGGCATTCAAGGGGCTGGGGAGTCATTACTCCCTTCTAACACACTTAGCTGGACGAAATGAAAAATAAACGAACGAAATCTGTAAGGAATGAGGTTATAGAAAACATCTATTCTGAAGAGTGGCTACTGAGACTTACAATGGACCGGAGCGAGACCCACAGAAAGCCTCCACAAGGAGCAAGACCAGGGTAGCAAAACCTTTGCTGTGACCGACAAGCTGGTGAGCACTCAGAGCGGATGAATCTGAAAGCTGAGCACTCAGGGGGCTCAGTGTCGTGAAAGCACACTTACCCTTTTGTGATTTTTGTTCCAGTGAAAATAGAGGAAATGCCCTTACTTTTCAGGCAGAAGAAGAAAGCAACCAGTACGACACCAGCATATTCTGGTGGCTAAACAACATGGGAACATTTAGTTCCTAACCACGTCAGCCCTCAGGAGAAAGTTTGACCAGCTCATAATCTAACTGACATGAGAGACTAACTGACACGGAAAGAGAACATCTCAGCTCCAGCCAGCTGGAAAGACTCATGTAGAAGGGAACTGAGCAACCTCAGCCCCCTCTAGTCATCTAGTGTCACCTGAGAACGGACAGTGAGAAAGAAGCATTAGTAAAGGCACAGTCGGGGGGTCCAGGCTCACCAAGGGTCTAACACATGATTGTGGGACACTAGAACGTGTCCGTGTCTCCACACCTCACCACCACAGTACTGACACCTGCTCTCCAGTCTCTTTGACCCAGCACATCAGGTCAGGCTTCCAACACAAAATGGCAAAGCCACACTGAAAGGAAACAGCAGCTGGAGCTCGGGTGTAACAGTGGTCGAGTGCTTGCTAGCATGCTCAAGGCCCTGGGTTCCATCCCCAGCGCCACCTAAAACCAACGAAGACTAACAATAACCCAGTGAATTCGAGGAGACAGTGAAAGCATCAGAGACGAAGTCAGATAGCGGGCATTCATTGAAAAGAACCCACCAACACTGAGTTCTGCGGCCTGCGAACTTGTTATTCAAAAGTAAAGCAGACATCAAGACTTTCTCAGACAACTGAAACAACACCCTGAAGGAAATTATCAGCTCCATGTAGGCCTGGTTTTCAAGAGATGTTCCTAGAAATTCTGGAACCTCTGTGTCTTGCCCACCACAAGATGAACTACCTCGTCTGCCACACACAGCTGCCACCATGATGTTTGGCCCAAGTCAACAGAGACAAGGACCATGGACTGAATCTTCTGAAGATTCAAACAAATGCTTCCTTTCTTGTAAGAGAGTGTCTGGAGGGAAAGTGATAGAAGGGAGAAAGTTGCATTTGTGTAAAGAAGAGAAGAATATTCATGAGGGAACAAGTGATGATCAAAGAATAATTTTCATTTTCTCTCACCGACAGACCAACAGCTAATAAAAATTATTCAAAATTGGGTCCTGGGTTCTATCCCTAGTACCAACAGGAATAAAGCATTTGATTACATAAGTATCTGTGTACATGTAGGCATGTTTATGTGTGAGTGAAATGAGTGGTATTAATAATACAAGGCATGGGAGGGAAGAATTAAGAGTACTTTATTAATAAAAGATACTTTTACTAACTGAATATTGAGTATATCTTTGGGTAGTGTTGTTTGAAGATGAACTTGGAAGCTCAGTGTGGTGATACATGCCTGTAATCCTAGCACTTCAGAGACGGCAAGAGGATCAGGAGTTCAAGGGCAGCCTAGGTTACATGAGACCCTGGGTATTTGTTACTTTTC